ACTTAAATATTAGCAACATATTTTTCTGAGCGGTTGTTTATTCTCTTTCAAACGAGACATAAATGTGACGACATAGTCGATCCCTTATCCACCGCTAAGAATGCCGCAATGTTTCGTTCGTTTTGCAACATGCCACAAATCGTCGAAAAAAACACCACTTCGACGGAAGCTTGCGTAATAAGGGGGTTAAAACAAGAAAACAAATGCCATGTTTAATACATATCGACCTGTTTTACTTGCGAAAGATAACGGAACATGAACTCGTTTCGTGCGACTTCGGAACCCGAAGGAACACACCAACAACGTTGAATTTACCCGCTATCTTCCAAATATGGTATATTAATTTATTCAGTTGTTTATTTAGAGTGACGTCCGCGGTCGAATGCGATTGGCTATCGATGTCAGTGCAAAGGTCATATGAATATTAAAATTAAGTGGGCGGAAGGAAAATTGTATAGGAGACAAGCTGGAGTCTCGTGTGGCGATAGCGATAACACCGGGACGAATGGTCTGGGGTATTGCTATTGGGAAATTACCTAAGTACATGTATGTACATTTTGTCCAAAATCAACAAAGAAATAATTGAAAAATTAATATAAATTTTCAAAAATTAGGCATTCAAAGGATTAGTTTCAATGATTACGACACAGACTGGCTATTTCAAACAACAATGTTTATTGCGTACAATCATGAAGCTATTGTCTCACTGCACAATATTATAGCATTATTTTGTGTAACTTTTTCAAAACAATTCAATAGAAAAACTGCATTTACAACCTTAACACAGAGTACCCATATAATTAATTTTTCAGTCTATGTGACCAGCCTACAATTTGAGATATAGCGGTAGCATAATATCTCTTTGATACTACCAAAATGGAAAACGTCCAGTAAAGTACAACCAACGATTTCATGAAAATTAAGCTAGTGACCCAACTTTTTTTAAATCAATATCCTTACATTGCATTTTGAGTACAATTTATTGCAAAATGAATAAATTCTGGGTAGGCTTCTATCTAAAAAAGAAATACAGAAGTAGAAAAGTTTTAACATCTGTATCAACTCAATCAAAATAACAATGCCTCAATATAACAGTGTCACAATCACCAGATTTCAGTAGAATGTCATTAAACACCCCCTCCCGCTACAAGTACATTTGGACATTTTAACTTGTGATTCTAGACATTCATTTAGATATGACCTTAATATACTTACTTGAAATGAAGACAGTAATGTCACTACATCAGTTTTATTCACCTTTTTTACCGTAGTAAGGCAATCTGTGGCCTGCAAATTAACAAATTTACACATTAGAATGATAGAGGGCGCTGTAGCAATGACAGCTTAAAATTGCATTGTGAATTATTAAGTTCATGTGTAGTTAAATGAGCAATGAAGTCCGTAGTTTTGCTGTTCACAAGTCATGCATGTCTAACCTTTTTTTTTGTCTGGAATACATAAATTTTGACATGCAATACCTAAAATTGTGACATGTGATTTTGTTTTGAATCCTACCTTGGAACACACTCAACACAACTACCATAGGAAATGTTCACTTTCACATCTTGTATAACATTGTATGAAGTTTAGAAAAAAGGCACAAAAGTAGCAGGTGCTCAACAAACAAATCCCTGTCTTCTTATTATCAAATTATGATGAATTAAAAAAGGCGGAATTACATGTAGAGATGTCAGTTTTGCATGCCATTCCATCGATATTATTCAAATATTGGCTGTTTGCAGACAATCCAGATATCTTATGAATACTGAATTATTGCCGTTGATGTATGACATATACTATAAGGTTATTACGAGGATACTGCAAAGTATGCCCATAGACAGTACAGCTGGAGTGTCCAGCAACTCGCAGCGGAGGTTGATACAATCGTGTACTGTCCAAGTGAATACTTTGTGGTATCCTCGTAATAACCTCATTATTATACATCTTTTCCTCCTGAAGATACATTAGAGAATGCCAAAATCCAAACAGATTTATCTAATTTCTTTGTGTATGGTCCGGTTAAACTTCACGCTGCGGACAGCCATGTCGTTTTTATTATAAAAAGGACACTTATCGTTCCATATTTGAAATAAACATTTCCTAATATGGCAGAGTGAAAATACCTAGTGCAATACGGCAAAATTACAGCACACTGTAACTTACGACGTTACGATGACAGATGCACTATAAAACCTCATAAAGGCTACAAACAAATCATACCCGATAGCAACTTACTCTGGACATGAAATCACTCTGGACTTTTTCTTTCAGTATATCTGCTGGTTTATTTTCATAAGATTTATATGTTTCCAGATATCTGCCCACCTCTTCTGGACTAGAAAAATATAGAAACATATGGATCATATGTAGCAAGAATGCTGAGGACTGAGCAGTTCATCTTTATCTGATTGCGTTCTAAATGGGTGATAGCTAAAACATTACTGAGCTACACATGTCTATCTATTATAATAATAACAATATAGAAGAATTATTCTAAATCCAACTAAAATTTGATGTATCGGCTCCAATTATTTTCTATATTTTATTTATTCCTATTTTGGTTTATATTTCATTTTACTTGTCTTCATTCAGTTTTTTATACATTGTATAACTAACAAGATACAATATATATACAATAATATAAGCAAGTAAAACCAAATATTTACACATATGTAAACAATAATTGCATTACATAGTACCCTTGAGTTATCAAGTTATAAAAATTGGTCACACTAGTAACTTTAATGACATACACATTTAATTGAAGTTATCTTAACAGGAAACCAAATCTTACACATTGGAAAATATCGAAAAAATTAAGTGCATAGTTTTCTACAAAATGTTGGAAATATAATTTTACTGAAAATGACAAAATAATCGAGAATTCTGATAGAGATGCACATATCCACCAGTTGGCCATTTTGAATTGGATCAAACCAATAAATCTGTATACCTATGACATGAAGTATAAAGAATATATAACATTTTAATATAATCAGTCAAAGCATGTCAGAGATATGGCACTAGAACTGTATTCATTAAAACAAAATAGCCGCCAGTCAGCCATTATGAATCTGATCTGAAAAACATGATGACATGCATCAAGGACCAATAATGTCTAATGTATGAGAAAATCCATCCATAAATGACCGAGTTCTGGTTCAAGAATGCCAGAAATGCTTGATTTTTGCAGGACGAAAATGGCCGCCATTCAGCCATAATGAATCAGAATGTGAAACAAATTGATGTGCATATGTATAATATTATGTATGATGTATGTGTGAAGATTGAATGTAATCGGCCCAGGCATTTTTAAACTATAGGTCTGGACGCACACACACATGTATGTAGGCACATACATGTAGGTCAATCCATAAGTCCCTGTTTCAGACTGCATTCGAATGGGGACTAAAAATGGCCAGCAGTCAACCATTTTGAATCTGATCAAAAAAGACAAAATAATGTGAATCAAGGTTCAATTACAGCTAATCTATGTATGTTTCAACAAAATCTATTCATACATACATGACTGAGATCTGGTTCTGAAATGGCAGAAATGCTTGATGGCCAGTACCATTTGAAACAGCCTAAAATGCAACATATCACATTGTAATTACAGACAACCTCATTCAATCTATGATAAGCCAATGCAGTTTTTTAAAATCACATTTTCAACAATATAATTATTAATATAATTATTGTTTTTTTTATTCTATTTTAGAGTACCGGGGGGTACCTTAACTCTTTGTTTACTTTAAAGGCCTTTAAGGTCTTTAAAGGTGTTTTCACTGCTACTAATTTTTGGATGAAAACTTTAATTGGATACCTACATGTACTCATGCAGTTTGCTATAAATACCTAATATGCTTTGATTCACTGAGATGTACATCCTCAATGCTTTATTTCATATTACATTCATCACCCCATACATCACTACCAAAGAAAATTGTAGTGATTAGTTTATCGAAAAGAAAAAGTGATAACTCAATTTTCAGTTTTCTATCATGACTAATAGTTGCTTTCAAAAAGAACAATGCTTTGTGACCTTTTATTTTCAGACTTTCTTTAATATAAAAATGTTGTTTGTAGTTTGACACTTAATTAATTTTTTTTCTAAAAACAAATTGTTGCTTTTATAATAGGTAATTTTTATTTAAGTATGATATTAGCCTACTGTTCAAAATAATTGTGAATAGTTTTCCCAAGGCAGCTTGATATAGTAATACTTTTGTAGTTATGTTTTGAACCAGATTTATTTAATGGCACTATCACGCTTGTATTCCATAATTCAAGCATCTTTAATACCATATTTACAAATTATATTGAGTAGTTTTTATAAGGCAGTAGTAATATACTGTGCCCACTTTTCAGCATTTGTCTGACACCTTGTTATGTTTTCATTGATTAATTGCAATTTTAATATTTAATTTTAATTTTGTTATTTAGAATTTCATTACCATGCTGAATAATATTTCTTCCATATTGTTTAATCTTCTTTGAAATATCCATACTCGCATGTAGGAATATTCTTTATAATTGATTTGTTTTCATTCAGTAAATTTTTGAAATACATCCTGGGTGAATGAACAGACTCATTGATGAGGTCATTTCCACTCTACCCTAGGTGAGTGTACCACAGTTGCAACAGGGAGGTCATAGCCACTGTATCCTGAGTAAGTGTCCCACAGCCTAAACGGGAGGTCAAAGTCAATGTACCTTGGGTGAGTGATCACAGACTCAAAGGAGAGGTCATAGCGACTGTACCCTGGGTAAGCTTGTCACAGACTCAATGGGGACATCAAAGTCAATGTACCCTGGGTGAGTGATCACAAACTCAATGGGGAGGTCATAGCCACTGTACTTTGTGTAAGTGTGACACAGACTCAAGTGGCCAAAGCAACTGTACCCTGGGTGAGTGTTCCACAGATTCAATGGGGACATCATAGCAACTGTACCCTTGGTAAGTGTACCAGACTCAGTATGTGCAGATTTAAGGGAAAGGTCAAAGCAACTGTACCCTGGGTGAGTGTTCCACAGATTCAATGGGGACATCATAGCAACTGTACCCTTGGTAAGTGTACCAGACTCAGTATGTGCAGATTTAAGGGAAAGGTCAAAGCAACTGTACCCTGGGTGAGTGTTCCACAGATTCAATGGGGACATCATAGCAACTGTACCCTTGGTAAGTGTACCAGACTCAGTATGTGCAGATTTAAGGGAAAGGTCAAAGCAACTGTACCCTGGGTGAGTGTTCCACAGATTCAGTATGCACAAATTCAAATGAAAAGTCAAAGCAACAGTACCCTGGGTAGGAATGCCACTGACTCAAGCAACTGTACCCTATGTAAGTGTGCCACAGACTCCAGTGGCCAAAGAAACTGTACCCTGGGTGATTGTGCCACAGACTCAGTATGTGCAGATTCAAAGGAAAGATCAAATTCACTTGTCAAGATTCATTCACTGATGGATGGGTGGATGGATGGATGGATGGATGGATGCAACGCTGGGAGGATCATACTTTGGTTAAAGTCTGCAGGTGATTGTGTTCAACTGGACCTGGTTGACGACAGGATATTGCATTAAATTGCTATCATGATAGGAAGAACGACATACAGCCCAAGGGGAATATGTTTTCTGTAGCAAAATGTCAGCACTCGCAATTTTCACACAACAAAAAAGTTAGGAGAGACAACACCAAGAACTCTCGTCTGGCACAAAAAATATAACAACGCTGACAAACATAAGTCATTAACTCAAAACATAAGCCCCTGTTTCAGACTACATCTGACAGGGACTAATAAAATGAACTTGGACATCCCTAATTAATTGAATTACGTACTAACACACACA